TAGGTTGTGGTTTACCTCTGTTGCGAGTAAATTATTGGAAGAGGTTTTACCCCACAGGATCTAACTGACCTGTGAAAAAAAACCAAAGGGAAAGTCATTGACAGTAACTCTATAAAATTCTAAGCAGTGATTAAAGTGTTTATCTCCAGAAGTACATGCCAGGCCTCTAATGTTATCTGAGGTCATGCTGGCTTGACAGTGTCATAAATCTGAACATAGAGCCCCACCCATGAAGTTATCTGAGGTGGTGGCTAACACAACATGGGAATCACTTCAGACAGCTGGAGCTGCTGTTGTGTTCCTTTAGGTCTTATAAGTAGTTTGACCTTTAAATATTGTGTTGTTTGGTTGAGGCATGCCACTGTCAGCTTCATGGTTTTGCTCTGTTCTGAGGTATCGCAGGAGGTTTCACCCCACAGGTTCTAACTGACCTGTGAAAAAACTAAAACCAGAGGGTAAGTCAGTGAAAGGGGAGGTTTGTTGTACATAGTTCTTACTAACAATAAAATGATTGTTCATCATTTGGAGTACCAACCAGACCTGTGAAGTTATCTGAAGTCATGGTGGCTTGACAATGCCAGAAATTCAAATGTCGAGCCCCACCCATGAGGTCATCTGAGGTGGTGGCTAACAGAACATGGGAATCACTTCAGGAAACTGAAGCTGACTGTTGTGTTCCTTTAGGTCTTATAAGTACATGTACTTTGACCTTTAAACATTGTGTTGTTTGGTTTAGGCATGCCATTGTCAGCTTCACAGTTTTGCTCTGTTGCAAGTAATCGCAGGAGGTTTCACCCGGCAGGTTCTAAATGACCTGTGAAAAAACTTAAACCTGATGAGAAGCCAGTGAAAGGTAAGTTTAATTATTGTAATTCTAAATGTTAATATAATCCGTGTTTTTCTTTTGGAGTACCAATCAGACCTGTGAAGTTATCTGAGGTCATGGTGGTTTGACAATGCCATCAATCCAGACATAGAGCCCCACCCATGAAGTCATCTGAGGTGGTGGCTAACATAACATGGGAATCACTTCAGACAGCTGGAGCTGAATGTTGTGTTCCTTCAGGTCATGTCATTGTCAGCTGCATGGTTTCTCTCTGTTACAAGTTATCGTAGGAGGTTTCACCGCACGGGTTCTAACTGACCTGTGAAAAACTAAAACCAGAGGGGAAATTTATGAAAGGTAAGTTTATCGTAATTCTGTCTATCTATAAAATAGTTGTTCATCGTTTGGAGTACCAACCAGACCTGTAAAGTTATCTGAGGTCATGGTGGCTTGACAATGCCAGAAATCCAAATGTAGAGCACCACCCATAAGGTCAGCTGAGGTGGTGGCTAACACAACATGGGAATCACTTCAGACAGCTGGAGCTGACTGTTGTGTTCCTTTAGGTCTTAAAAGTTGTTTGACTTTAAAATGTTGTGTTGTTTGGTTGAGGCATGTCATTGCTAGTTCCATGGGTTTGCTCTGTTGTGAGTAATCACAGGAGGTTTCACCCCACAGGTTCTAACTGACCTGTGAAAAAACTTAAACCAGATGAGAAGCCAGTCAAAGGTAAGTTCAATTATTTTAATTCTAAATGTTAATATAATCCCTGTTTGTTATTTGGAGTACCAACCAGGCCTGTGAAGTTTTCTTAGGTCATGCTTTGTGGCATGACATTGCTACAAATTGAAACATTGATCTGTACCCATAAAATTGATCATCCCTGAAGGTGGAGAACACAACTTGGGATCACTCCTTCAGGTTGTACAAGTTCTGTGAGCAACGTTGTATTTTCTGGTTATGGCATAGTAATACACATATAATCTGCACCTGGATTTTCCCTTGTGAGTAATCACAGGTGAACTGTAATTACTCAGAGCACAAGATATAGTAGTCAATGGAAAGGAGGATCATCATTTATTAATTATATGGAGATAGATATATATGAAATAATGTGGTAATAATTTATTTGTTATATTTATTTGGAACAGCTTCAAGACCCATTCACATACCTGGCTTGACCTTATCTTGGGCCATTTCCATAAGCTCCATTTGGAAGATATGGGCTACACTAGTCGTAATATGGTCAGTTGAAAAGGTAAATATGACCATTGCTACGGTGTGTTTCTACTAGTGTACAGCCAAATTATACTGATTGCAGACCACAGATTGTAGACTGCAGGACTGGCAGACATGAAAAGTAAAGTAAAACTATTGTAGGCTAGTATTTCTCAGCCATTGATGCAAAGTACAAGGCAATGGAGAGCATAATAGTATGCTATCCACTTTATTTTAAAGTCATTTTAAAGAGTGTTATGAACAATAGAATTATTTTTTAATATAGTTAAGTAGTAAAAGAATTTGTAATAATGGTATATTACAAATTCCCAATCATTGGTCAAAATTACTTAAAGTAAAATTTAAGGTGGCTTTAAGTCCCCTTCAAAGAATTTTTTTAAACTTTGCAAAACGTTGCATCTTTTCATGCTTAGCACAATTCCATTATATAAAATGGGGGTCATCGAGCTTGTTTTTGAGTTATAAGAGCTTAAAGCTAAGATTAAGGATGTTTTTAGCAGGTCATATTGTTGCTATGGTAACCTGTTATATGAAAAGGATGACCACAACTTGTTGAACAATGATTCGAAATTTGAAATATACCAGTATTGTTAGTAGCATCAGTTGTTAGAAAAGTGCTGGAAACTGTTGCCAGCCTCCTTAAATCTCTATATGTAAATTCCGTGAATTATTTGTCACCATTGACTGTCACAAAATCCATTATAGGACTATGGAACCAGGCCACATAATTGTTGTGCAGTTGTGTTGGATCAGTGGGTCTGTTTTAAGTGCCAAGTTTGCAGGTAGGTCAGCTTACCTTCTTAATGAATTTTAAACATCGCAATGTATCCTATTATATTCATATTGGTAGTTATTGCAATATACAGATACATGTAATGTACGTCTACTGGAATCTCTTGCTGCATCTTGCTGATGAAGCATTTGAAATGCCCTGTTAAAGACCAAAATGGCCAAAATCGATACCCTACTTATGACCAAAACGGCTGAAAAACCCTACCCGTTGGGGCCGCACATACCTATATAGCCCATGTA